CTTGTACTGTGAAAGCTGTATTGACTGATATTTTTTTATATACTTTTTTTTGTAAATATTATACATACATAGAAAATACCCAAACTCCGAAACAAATATTTCATACAAACTTTTGGTCCGAACCGGGAATCGAACCCGACACAGCACAGCAGTCGCATACGCTACCATTGCACCACCGAGGCAGTCAAGGCCATCATTCATAGGCTTTTAAATTACACGAAAATATTTGTAATCAGATAGTGACGATATGTAGAAGAAAGACAATATAATTATTATGGTAGGCATGTTCAACGTTTATCTTTTTTAATCAAAATATTTGATTATATACTTTGTATATGAATAATCATTCTGTACATTCCACAGGTCTTAGTAACCAGAACCACATGAAAATGCCATTAATTACACATTCTCTTTGACACATTCCATCGTCTGGGCAATCATCAATATACCATTACTCTTGTTTTTCATTATTTAGGGTCCAGCTTTAGTTATAGGAATAATAATAATTTAATAATAATTTCAGACATCTCACACACGGCCGTCTGATCCCAAACTAGGAAGAGCCTGCACTATGTTAACCAGACTGCTGAAAAACATACTTGTATATTACTAAATACTATATATATATATTATAGATAAATTACTCCCAGACACAGAAAAACGATCGTGCTCATCACACAATTATTTGTCCTGGGTGGGAATCGATCCCACGACCTCTAGCTTAGCAGTCAGGATCACTAACCACTGAACCAAGGGGCCTAAATGACTTAAAGTACCTTCTTCCTCTTTTAGTAAGTTAATTTTCAATGTCCTCAGACTTATGTTGAATTGATTGCTCAATAATAAACTAGATATCAAATAACCAGAATCCCTCAAACTTATTCATCATTTACCCGTATAATACTACTAAATTGAATATCTACATAGGTAACTCTACACAAGTCGCAGTACTTGTCCCTAGGAGTACGTACTCGGTTCCCAGGATAGAAGTAAGTCGCACAGCCAAAGGAGTCGTGTAGAGGACAGGGCAGGTCGGGTGAGCGATACTATCGTATCACGAACGTTCCTTTACTGGGCACAGGGTTGAGGATCGTTCTCTACACGAGAGGTTTTATTTAAAGGTGAATTGAAACAAAATGTGAACCAACTATTCAAAATAAATCAAGATTACTGTTGACTAAACAGTGTGTTTAGTTTTATTTTTCTTTGGTAAAAGAGATATTTTCGCGTATGTATTACTGAGTTTACATGACAAATATTTTTGTAAACAGTAGTACCTATTAGCAAAACCTGAATTTAGTTATAGTCATTTTAATTTAATCTAAAATGTATATATATTACACCAGTTCTTTTTCTTTGTTTCTTGGATCATGACTCACTCTTATTTACTTTGTCGTATTTTTTTTTTAACAAGAATGAATCCTTTTAAAAAACGTTGAACCGACTTCTAGCAATACTAACAAAGAACACAAAAAATCAAGCAGTAATCGCGGTTCTTTTGCTTAGATTTTTTGAAGAGTTCCGTTGTCTGACTCCGAAACTCATCATCAGATCTATAGTAAATTTAAATGGGACCATTTTGGAATAAACTCTTTCCGAACCAAAAAAAAAAAATTTAAATCCGTCCATATATGACGGAGTTATGCCCGAACATAAGTAAAAAAGCCTTCGGACTCTAAAACCTCCCCCTTTTTTAAGTCGGTTAAAAATAGTTTTAAACAAAAAGTAGAAAAAATCTGAAAGGGTTGCACAAATCCCGACACCCTTTATTGAGGTTATTCTGTGTATTGTAGTAAACCTAAAAGTATTTATTCTTGAATCGATATTCGTTCTTTTTTTTTGTATCACTTATTATTTTCTTTACGTAAACTAATGTGTAAAATATGTGCAAGTGAGTGTAAATTTCTAACTCATAAATAACATAAATAACAACATAATTTTTTAACATACCTAATGAACTAATGAGTTTAGATAAAACTAGTTTTTGACCGCGGTTCTCCCGCGTATATGTTGGTTGTCGCGGTAAAAAGTAGCCTATGTCGTTTCCCAAGAATTAAAGTATATTCATACCAAATAAAAAAAAAATCGATTAAGCGGTTAAAGCGTCAAAAGGTAATAAACAGACAGACAGAAAAACAGACAGACACACTTAGTTTTACGACGATTAGTTTCACCTTCGAGCGAATACATAGGCACTATTAATACATGTGCACTACTACCTACCTAAATTCCTTTACTTCAACTCGACAGCCCTATCTTAGACTAACTCTTTGTGTTGCATAGTAGCTGTAGTACACATCTACACAAGAAATAAGTATGACAAAGAAAAAGGAATATAGAACAGATAAATGTACCTACACATTACCTACTATTTAATAGCTTTTGCATTTATTTAGTACCAAATAACTGTAATAACGTATTATGAAAGTTTAGCGTAAGCACTATAGTAGTGAGAGCTGCTGTGTGTAGGTATATGTACTTTTTGTTTTAATTGGTAGGAATGACTACAGTTCACTGTTCGCTACTCTTCGCTTCCTTAACACACACCGCTTACAAGGGCTGCACCGTGAGGAAATAAGTATAGAAGTTGGTATATTGCATTTACCACTTTTGTAATTAAACAAAATCTGTTTATGTGAAGCTATACCAAAGAAACCCATAAATAAAGAGTAAGTAATTTAAATATAATATTTTTGATAGACAGGTACTTATGACGTAGGTATATAGATAACACACAGTATATATCATAGATTGGTTATAAATATACATCTTGCGTGGGTTAAGACAGGCATTTTTTGCTAATGTCCATGCATAAATATATATTTATAGGTAGGAAAAGAATTTAATAACCTGTTTTTATAAGAGAATACACAATTACCCAAATAATTACATAGAACAGATATGTATGTCTTTATTAACAGTGAACAAAAAATGTGGTAACTCAGTAAACATTTAAATGATTTATTAATAAGTATTGTAATAAAAGAATACTCTGACTATTACTCTGAATACTCTGAATACTCTGAGTTATTAAGATAATATTGTGTATACCTAGTGCTGTGTCTTGTGAATTTTCTGTGATATTTAAAACTATTTAAATTAACCTAAGTAGTTTCATTTCCGTATTTATTTTTTACTTATTATTGCCCACAGCTTCGCTCGCATCATTATTTCCTTTTTCGTGTTTCAAACTCTGATAACGACGAACTTTTATACAACCAATCATCTCTTATTTTTAAGGAAACGCTGCTACCAAAAATAACGAAGTTTTATATAAATTTCTAACCCTATTTTGCACCCTTAAGGGTGGTACTTTAAAAAATCATTCTTAGTGCGTACGTCACCTAAGGAACATTTGTGATAAATTTCATACTTCTTCTAGACTCAGCGGTTTCAGCTGTGCGTTGATCGATCAGCCAGTGAATCAATCTGTCAGTTTCTTCCTGTATATATATAGATTAGTTATGTGTATGATATACTTTTGTGTTTTTTTTTCAGCGTGAGAAACGTTGGCTTTATCTAAATACTTCGATCTTCTGAAGTAGAATATCACAAGGAATTTCATAGGTGAATTAAACCTCATAAAATATGCGCATATCATAACTATTCTTAAGATAAACTACCTTTTCCCTAATGCGCATATTCGAAAGATGGTAATGAAAACTTTTTGTTGCTTATTATCAGTTAATTAGTTTCAGTTTCAGTAGATGTAGCCTTACCAATTTAGGTATGTATGTGTGAGTCCAGAGGGATACATCGATGCCGGATAACCTATAAAACGTACCCTACATATTTTAATTGAAGGTAATAATAAAATAATTCTTACATTCTTTTTAGCCCTTACCATACAAAGATGTCAAACGTCATACCCAGCAAGGCTATGTAAAGAAGATATAAATTATTTCCTGCTACGTATAATAATTGTCGAATAAAAAACTAAAGGCTCGAGTGCCTATGCTCCGGTGAACATTAAGATGTTCAAAATTCACCTCGCGATACGTTAATGCCAGAGCCAGTAATAAATTTTTCGTATCGGCTAAATAATTATCTGTTATCGTCGATTTGGCAGGACAGGTCGAGGACCGTAAACCTGGCTGATATGGAAGCGTTAGCAAAAAAATCCATTAAGATTTCACTCTTTTCATTCATAACTCATATTTTATTTATATTAAACTGCTGTCATTGAGAAACATGTCTACTGTGAGTCATAGTTTTCAAAACCACTAATATAATATTTTACGACAAAAGTACCTAATTTTGATGGAACATAATGCATGATACAGTTTTTTGCACACTTCGTCGATTTAACAAGGTGATACGTCTCTACGTATAATGTTATTTAACATTTTCCTACATGAACACCACTTCCAAATAGGTACAAAAATATTTATGACTTTTTCTTTCGCGGACGGTACTCGCAGCTTGGAATTTATTTTTTAGCGGCCCTTTGACTCTTCAGTTGCCATATTCGTTGTCCAAGATGAATCAGACTATAACCAATTTAATTAATAGTTTCCATCACTCGGGAGTACAATCGATGAAGCCATTATGAATATTTACGAAATTTTAAGACCCTAATATGACAAGAGAGCTTATTTTTTTTATTTCTAATTATTGTTACATGCCGACGTCGCTGGGTCGTTATGTCAGTGTTAATTATTATAGGAAGGTCTTAATAATCAGTCAACATATAGCATGTACTATTCGATGCATTCATTTACGACAACTGATAAATAATTCTGTAATTGTCTTTATCGACTGTACCTATTCTCAAGGCAGGTGTTATTATGGCATTCTACGTGTTTCGCGGGGAGACAGTCGGGAACATGAAAAGGTGCAATGGACTTAATAAATTAAAACATTGCAAAACAACTTCACCGAAGAAGTTGCGCTTGAGCGACTTCAAAAATGGCATCGCGCGTCGACTGGTGACGACAAGTAAGTTTTTCGCGACTGTCTCCACTCGATAAATAATGGCGGTGACTTTGACAAAAACTCACCTAGTCCTGTTCGGTGGCCGACGGCGCGCGCTCCCCGCCGTATGCGCTCGCTTCACCCCGCTCTCCTCTCTCCCACTCTTCCGAGCCGCCCCCACATCCCCGCTCTGCCCGCTGTCGCCCTGTGAGCTTTTTCTGCCCATTCCACGGCGCCGGCGCAATCGCGAACCGTACACTTCCATCATTACAGACATAACCCTAACTATTTACACCGCTACTGTCTAAATAATATCTACTTATATTTATGGCAATTTGTTTAACTTCACCGACTATTAAAACTGCAGGAACACGATCACGTTTACACTATACTTATGCGAGAGTATTGAAGGATTAGATGGCGCGGAAGGTTATTCATTCTGTTTCACACTGTCCGATATAACGATAGCGGATAATTAATTTAACTTACGACTCTTTATTAACTTAGCTTTAAGGGTACGAGACCGGGTCTCTTTGGTAGGCATATTAAATTTGTACAATGTAATATAGTTCATGTCGCCGACGCAGCCGAGCTGGGGCGCTATGATCGCACATAAAGTAAAACGCACTACGATACACCTACACTATGATACACGGAAGAGATTTCTACAAATTGCACTGGTTTCCAAACGCGAACATCTTCGACGATTACGCGGATTAAAATATAAATGTATATAAAAATCAATAAATCAACAAAAAACAAAACCCGAAACACAAAATAATACGACCCGTTTCTAGTCCAGCATTCAACAGTTTATTGTTCCATTTAATCGATTAGAAAACATTGTGTCTAGTTAAAATTAATTTAAAAAATAATCACAACAACCGAACAACACTTAAATAACGAAAAAATAATTACAAACAATTTACAAAAAAAAACACAAAGCTATGGAGTGTTCGGCGGACTGCGATTGTATCACTGGGCAAGGCGGTGCGCGCGCAGCGCCTAGTGCTCAGGATGGCCCTGCGCAGCAGCAGCGGCCGCCGCCGCAGCTGCTGCCGCCTTTTGTGCCTGAGCTTGCTTTTCTTGTTCATTTAACTCCTTTATAGCTTGAATCTCCTTCTTTAATTTCATCCTTCGATTCTGGAACCATATTTTGATTTGTCGCTCCGTCAAACAAAGTGCATGTGCCATTTCTATACGTCTCCTCCGCGTGAGGTAGTGATTCGTGTGGAACTCTTTCTCTAACTCTAGCGTTTGATATCTAGTATACGTTTGTCTTCCTCGTCTTCTCAGGCCGTTTGCTCCTGTAACAAAGGACAGTTTGTCATTAATAATTTTAAAATGTTAAAACTCGAATGTTAGAGGTTAAGACTGTGCTTTAAAGAGGCCGGTTTTCAGCGAAGCGTTTGAATGGTGAATGGGATTGCTTGTCTCACGCAGCTAAGTTCAAATGACGTTACAATTGGTGGTGACGACAGCTTCATTTCGTTTAAACGTCGATATAGATTTATGTGCAGGAGAAGCCTTTGATCGTAACCGCCTGAGATTAAGACTGGTTGCAAACTTGATTAAGAAACATAAACACGTGTGGGCGATGATACGAAACTGTTTAGCATAAAGTTTCAAAGGCAATGTCAATTGAGACACAGATAATACATTTTATCTTAAAACTGGATCCACTTAATCCCTAATCAACTGAAATCCTAATCTATATAATACGATGCATAGATTTTTCACCAGGTATTGGAAATCACCTAACTTTCGACATTCTCAAAATATACTCAAACTTGATTTCCACCTGTATTTTTCTTATAATGTATATAGCCTTCATTCTCTATACTCCGCACATTCAATTGAGGTACCGCTCATTTTGGTCTAAGAACACTCGCTGAAACGAGATTTTTTATTTGACCTGCGATCATACTCAGTTAAGTTCCTTGAATTGAAGGAACCTTAGGAATGAACATTTAACTTTTAATGCTTCGGAGTAACTCAGGGCTTTCTTTTTACAGGAATTTTAAAGTGTAGATACATTTAAAAAAGGCAATTGTTTTCTTTGTTGACATTTTTATCTTTTAATGATGTATTTAAAAATCGTCAATTTATTAGAATTGGCTGGAGAAACTGTGTCCAAAGATTCAGAATTTCTTGCTACGAAGTTACTTCGTCTACAGAATTTGGGATTTCAATATCTTCACAGTTTTATATAAAATGTATCAGAATCAAAATTGAAACTTATTGCAACTTATTTTAATAATTATATTTAAGGACAACCCTATTTAATGCCTGCGGTTATTCGAAAGCTTTCATTGCATGCCTTGGTTGCGTGCTCCTTAACATAATGTATAGGTTCTGAACTCATGCTGAGATGTACATTTCTTTATTTTTGTGTCGTACTTTCTCAGTTGGTACATTATATATATATATATGTATCTGAATTTAATTTGGTCAATTCGAAGGTAATATGTACGCAAAGTTTGATTTTTTCATTTTCAACTTTAATGTGGTTCTGATCCGTGACGAGTATAAAAAGAGCTTTAATGACATTTATTTTAAATATTTTCTTTTAAGTAAGGCAAAAACATTTACAACAAACTTCATGCTGTGCTTTCAATCTGAGTCATGATTAATAAATTTTTGTCTCGTATTTGCAGTCAAAAATATATACTCTTAGGTATGAGCAGGAATAGCACCATCAAACGTTCCGCCAACGAACTCATATATAGATTTAATTAAAGACGTGTCATAATTATACTACAGGGAGATAAAACACTCGAACAAACACATTGCCTTGCTTTAGTGGTACAAAAATAAAAGCAAGAGTATCCAGGGGCGTACTTCTCACAGCATAAAAGGGTATACGGACCAATTTAATTGCTTAATTATCTTTGAAGTAGTGAGATCCGAGGCTGTTAATCTATTGACTTAAGTTGTATGCAGTATGGCCTAATCAATCGTGAGAAAGTAAGTTAAACACGCATATCGTGATAAAAGTTTAGTCTAATTGAATAATAGGTAATTAGAAACATGTGTGAAGTGATTAATGTCAGTATTAAGCGTCTATCTAGGAGTTTTAAACGTGCAATTTGAAATAAAATAATTAAAAATGATGTATATTTTTTGCCAGTAAAAAAACGAATTCAATGCGTAAAATAAATGGATTCGCCTATGGCCAAACAAAGGAACAGAAGTCACGTGTGAGATAAATTAAAAATGAAGTCATTGGAATTTATTTAACCACCAGGTGCACTTCATGCAATCAAAATTATTCTTAGATAAATCTTTTCTTCCTAACTTACGATTCTTACAAAGTAAAGTGCAACCTTTTTAATAATTAACAAAAATTCTTGCGGTAACTGTATGTAGTGGTTAATTGAGTGACGCTAATTGCCTAAGCCGTAAAAGTCTTCCGAGGGCAACACGTAAATTACAGGACCACTCTTCTTTATGTACGAGTTATTTACGGGATTAACTCGAAATCGTTGTTTATTTTCGACAATAGTAATCAATTTTAAAGAGAACATCTAAATACTCGACCTTTGTAATTTAAAAGTAAATACAAAACAAATTACTTTCCTGTAATGAAGTTGTACTGTTATTCTTATATATATATATATCTCAACAATTATATAAGATGATTGTCAATTGTTTTGGCAATTGATTGAATCAATCGTGATGGCAACAGGGAGAATGAATTAATGAATAAAGGAAAGCGGGGAAATGATCAAAGACGTGAAGTATAACGTGAAGTATTATATTCTTATATAGGTACCTACCTATATAAGAATATAAAATTTCATACATATGGTGTTATTCTTCAGACAGTACCTAACTAGATGACAAAAGAAACTAAAGAATTTGAAATTAACTGGTTTAATACTTTCTACTTCTTTGTGTGTTCTTTCAATTATTACAGAAACCACAACTAAGTATATTGGTTTATTCAAATTTAATTACAGACTGATCTCCTTTTATGAGCAATATTGATGGTGACAGATCGGTTGAAAAGTGAGTATTTTACAAACTATAGTCCATTTATGGATCTCACAAATAATTTTCTTAGAAGTATTAAAGAAGTATTAAATTTCAAAATATATATTTTTTACTTATAAAGTTTTGCTTGGAGTAGGCGGTAGGTATGTAATTCTGCCTATATTTATTGTTCATTACTAAAAAATATGCTTCCGGCTGACGAACGAACTCGATCCCGATAAGCTAATGCATTAAACCTCATTACTAAGAAAAAGAGCTGGTTTTGCATATTAATTCAAACCTTTCACTTCAATGTAGAGGGCTGTTTAATTTTGGAGCCGCGAGCTCGAAACATAAATGATAAGTTAAAATAAATACGGCCGATTACGGCCATCGATATCGCGAAGTAGAATTTATGTAAAGAGGAAATACCAGAAATATATAATAGGAACTTCTTTCCGAGGAGAACTTGACTTCTCTTTTATCCTGACACTTGTAGTAGGTGAATCATTTAATTCAATATGAAATAAAATGCTGACTTAGGATACAATTAAGACTATTGCCTATCACTCTAGATCTTTTGATATGTGCAAGCTTAATCACAATTAGTCCAAACGTCAACAGAAGTATATATTATAATATTTTGTAACTTAACATTTCTCATAAATTAAGTATCAACAAATTGAAATAAATTATACAACACAACAACAACAAATTAAAACATAAACTATGCGAAAATGCTTACTACACGGTTACAGATTCTTTAGATGACAAATTTGCTTGGCATTGATGCTGCTCGCTCCCACATTTGCGTTTCTATCATTGTTATTGCTTGGAAATTATGAACATTTAATTTTTTGTTGTAATTCATGTATGAAAGTATGTAAATGTGAGTATAGTGTAGGCTTGTAATGTTAGTTCATATTTTAGTAACTTTCTGGTGGTTTTGAGTGTTTCCACGGCCTATTCAAGTAACCTGCTGGCGGTAATGTCGTGTTCCGGGCTGTTGATCCTGACTATATTGGTTAGGCTATGCGATTTGTCCCCACAAATCGCCCGTATATCGTCTGTATGGACGGGCCGACTCAAAACTATTCTCCTTTCTTCAAAAGGCCAACCCGGATCCTATACTGCACTCCCATAGTTATTTTTAACATTGTTCATGAACTCAAAAATATAAGACACCTCTGTGGTCTGTTTTGGCGTTTCCACCCAGATTGAGTCTTAGGAAATGCCGGCGCCTTCTAGCTGTAAAGTCCGACTTGTAAAAATATCTGAACACATTTACTTGTAGAAATAATTGTAGAAATAATAATAATAATAGCATTTATCATTTATTACTTAATTCTTACTTAGCAAGTCTTGGTTTATTCTCTTATAGAGACGCATTCAGTCTCTTTTGTCCTATTGCCCCTTTATTGACAAGTTCTCTAGACTCGGCGTCTAGACTGATTCACGTAAAACATTAATTGCTTCGACGACCGACTTAATCTTTAAAACACAAAGAAAAAGACAACATATCAAGTAAAGATATTAGAGGGTAGACAAAGCCTGCCGATTCCTGTTATATAAAGTGAGATAGTAAGTTTTAGGTATTTATATTTATATAAAGAAACTATTTGGAAAATAAAAGTTGAACAGACATGAATTTAATAAATCGATTATTCCATGATGGTCTATTAACGATCTTGCTCTCATACCATTATAAACCTTTTGCAGTTAAAAATACTACATACATAAATAAATAGAATATGTCCTAATGAAGTCCATGTTGTTTTTTACAAAACCAACAGAAACACATAAGTGTCACAGAAGCCGCACGTGTTAAAACTAATTAGGGCTACCATCATTTCAGTGTCAATTTTCGCCTTGTAAATTCTCCTCAAAATCCAGAGTACGCCGTAAAAGCAATAAACATGACACAAATGGCTTCATTAACGCAAGAGGCGGGGATTGTGGCCTAGCAAAAAATAAAGAGTAGTGACACACAGCCTTAATAGGTATATAATGACACCACGTTTCCGTTATGCACAAATCTGAAAATATCATCTGTGGAGACGCATTACGTGTTCCGGAACGCAGGGCGAGACAACGGGCTCCAAAAGGTTACGGTTGTGCTTACAAAGTCAATAAAAATGAATCTACAGAAATTTTACTCATTATTATATAACACATCAAAATACCGTTGGCAGTAACTGCCAATTAAATTTTGGTGAAGTAAAAACGTGCAATGAAATTTGAGGTTCAGGGCAAAATAATCTACATTGGATGCATGTGAATAAATGTACGAACGACAATAATAAAGCTATAACTGTGTGATCTCAATTCAATCTTGATTGCACTCGAGAGTAGCCCGGGGCGGTCACTTCAAAAACAGGTTTCGCGAATTTGTGCTTCGGAAAGCGGTGCATTGCATAAAATTCGCAACATTTTTCGTTGAAAAACAACCAGAGAAAAGTACAATATAATCTGACTCCTAAAAATTTAAGTTGAAAAGCAAAAAGACAAAGAACGCTTCCAAGGAAATCGACTCGTAACCGTTCCCAAGATTCCCTTCGTACAAGTGTCGAGCACAACCCGTTCTGCAACACGTGTCGCAAACAAAAGAAACTTGTCCAAGTTACCCCCTCTCCCCATCGAGCGACAAAAGGATTGCGCAAGTTATATTAGTCGTAAAGAATTTCGGACTAAGATCTATAAGGTTGTAAACCGCTCGTAATTCACAATGGTCCCGCAATTGCGGAGGACATTCGCAACAACTGTTGTTTGCTTCAATGTTTTAATTGTTCCTAATTCGTAAAACTTTTCAGCGTGATTTACAACTGTTGTTTTAGTAGATCGGCACTTTTGAGTATTTTTTCCGATATTGGTGAACATGTGGCACGATGTTGACAACG